ATTCAATAATTCCTTGTCCTGTCACAATCTATTAGGGAAAGTTTTGTTTTCTTCTAAAATAGGATGCCCCAGAAAGAGGAAATAGCTATACAGCTTTCAAGCTAAATTGATCCACTTTTGACATATTTTAATAGACATAGAGAAAAATTAGAATTTTTGGGGGGGAATTATTTTTCTCAGTCTATTTCAATTCTCCTAAATTTAAGACAATAAATGAGAAAAAGTTTTCCAGGCTATTCCTTCCTTCCTTTGTGGAGTGGCTTCCCCCACCTCCACCCTCCTTTCTCTTTTCCTCTGTAGGTCAATTCTTGGGGCATGTCACCACTAGGGGCACATGCACAGAATGGAAGGGTCAGGGTTTGTGGGATACAAGAAAGAGGACCACCCCAGGACTCTTACTTACTTTGCACCAAGACATGCAGCCTAGAAATATCCTTTGAGAGGCATGCGTATCTGCAGGCATTTTTGGTGACCAGAGAATCAGAGTCTCAGGAGACTTGGATTTCAGACCAGGCCACAACTGTACCTTTTCCAGTCACTTTGGACACATCACTCTCTGCTTCTAAGCCCCATTTGCTCCTTCTTGTCATTAAGATGAACGTTCTCTATCTTCTCATAACTGTATAAGCCTTGGTGGGGTTTTTCTGAATATTAAAAAGAGTCTTTGAGCCATCAGATGCATCTGATCACTAATGTGATATATTTTTCCTCTTGGGTTGTTAAAAATTGATGAGAAGGTTTCTGAGTGAATGCTGTCCTTAAGATATTTATTTTAGATTTTAAAGCTCATAAATGTCCTGAAGGATACCCCTAGGTTGAGAATGAATGCTCGTTTCGTATTTGTACCCTCTTTTCAGAGACACAACTAAAGCTATGGAGGATGTTTCAAGAAAAGAGCTATTATCTCATTGTGTGACTCTCAGCCTGGGGATTCCCAGAGTGACAGTCGCCAAGCAAGGGGCTGGGCTGGGTGGAGGTGGCTCTCCAAATGAGTCTGTGTTGTGTTACCTTCTCCAGGGCTAGGCTGAGCTATGAAACCTAAATTCCAGTGTCTGCTTGAAATTTGAGGCTGATGATAGGTGACTGGGCTCCTGACCCTCCATTAGAGTTTTAGGGCTAAGCAGGGATGCTATTTGAAACCAAGAAATCAGAAGAGGAATCTCCTACCTCCACTATCTCACTGACCTTTACTCAAGATGCTAAGGGCATGAGTCTAAACCATACCTGTTCACTATTTGAGGAAGTCACAACCCCGGTATGAGGGGCTGCATCATACTCAGTATATTAGTTTGCTAAGGGCTGCTGTTACAAAGAGACATGGACTAGGTGTCTTAAATAAAAGGAATGTATTGCTTTGTGGTTCTAGAAACATTATCTGAAACCAAGATACTATCAGGGTTGGTTCCTTCTGAGGCTGTAAGAGAAGGGTCTATTCCAGGGCTCTCCCTTTGGCTTCTGGATAGCCATCTTCTTCTGCATCTTTATATTGTCTTCTCTCTATGTGTGTTTGTGTCCAAATTTTCCCTTTTATATTGCATTTAGGCCCACTTTCATGTTTAATTTTAACTTGACAATTTCTGCAAAAACCCTCCTTCACTGGATTTTGGCCAAAAGGCCAAGAAGTGAGTTACCAAAAAAAAAAACAAAAAAAAACAAAAAACAAAAAACAAACAAACAAACAAACAAAAAAAAACCAAAACAACATATTTCAAATAGTGACATTCTGAGATATTGTGAGTTAAGACTTTAACACATACTTATAAAATTTAGGAGAATAGAATTTACTAAATAACCCTCAGTGAAAGCTCATAGATATTTTATGTAAAGAATTGTGCCCCAGAGAAAAAAATAAGACAGATCAAGAATCCTGCCTCTTGCCCAGTGAATGTAGGTAATGCTAGCCTTATTTAGCTCTTTCCATAGAACAGTAATAAAAGAAAACTGAAGTAGAGGGTAGGAATCATAAATAAAATTACCTCTAGGTACTGAATTAAGGGTTTTCAATGAGTTCATGGGAAATATACATTATGAAGAACTATGCCTAGATTTCAAATTTTTTTTGCATCCAATTTGTACCAACGTGTTACAACATGTCTGAAGAGGATCTGGTTTGAGGCATTAATAAGGAAAAAACATCAGTTTGAAAAAGAGACCCTGTCAGAGCAACTTAAATTCTGCTAAAATTGAAACAGTAATAAACATCAAATTTATGGTGAAACTTGAGTGGAAAAATGGTACAATCATTAATGCTTGTGAAAAGTTTATGGGGACAACATTGCAGAGAAATCAACTGTTTATAAATAGATAACTCATTTTAAGAAGAGATAAGAGAATGTTGAAGATAAGAGAATGGTGGCAGACAATTCACATCCATTTTCGAGGAAAATATTTATCTTGTTTGTGCCCTCCTTGAAGAGGACTGGTGATTAAAAGCAGAAACAACAGCTAACATGACAGACATGTCAGCTGATGAAGCTTATACCTTTCCGACTGAAAAACTAAAGTTGAGCAAACTTTATATTCAGTGGGTGCCAAAACTGTTCTATCCAGATCATCTGCAGATAAGAGCAGAGCTTTCCGTGGAAATTTTAAACAAGTGGGATCAAGATCCCAAACAATTCTTGGAAGAATTGTACCATGAGATGAAGCATGGCTTTACCAGTACACTCCTGAAGGCAAAACACAACCACAGCACTAACTACCAAGAGGTGGAAGTGGTCCAGTCAAAGCAAAAGCAGATCAGTCAGGAGCAAAGATCATGGTGATGGGTATTTAGGATGCTCAAAACATTTTGCTCGGTGACTTTCTGGAGGGCCAAGAAACAGTTAACTTCTGCTTATTAAGAGCGTATTTGAGAAGTTAGACAAAGCTTTAGCAGAAAAGTGCCTGCGTCTCTATCACTAGAGAGTTCTTCTCTATCATGACAAGCTCTTGCTCATTCCTCTCTTCTATCAAGGGTGATTTTTGGAGAGTTTCTTGGGAATCATTATGCATCTACCTTACAATTCTGATATGGCTTCTTCTGACTTCTTTTTGTTTTCTAATCTTACAAAGTATTAAAAAGACACCCATTTTTCTTCAGTTAATAATGTACAAAAACTGTATCAGCATGGTTAAACTCCCAGGGTGCTCAGTTTTTTAGAAATGGACTAAATGGTTATTAACTTCACTTACAAAAAAATGTCCTGAATGTGATGGAGCTTATGTTCAGAAACAAAGTTTGTATTTTTTATTTTTATCTTTTAATTCCATTTTTCCATGAATTTTTTAAGTCCCTTTGTACTTTGACTTAAAAAGTAATCCCATGATTGGGGGGGGGGCTGGAGAGAATGTGATATTTTCTTCCCTCAGAGATTATGTCTAGTGCTGAAACCTCACAGCCTGACTCTTTGCTGAAAAACAAGAAGTGAATTATGTTCCCACTCCACCATTGGAAGGAGTGAAAACATAATCATGATAGTTTGATAACCATGGCCACAGTATCTGATGTGAGGTTTAAAGAATAGTGTGACCAATAAATAGTTGCCCATCCCTGTGGACAGAATGTCCAGTCCCCTGATTTTCCACCAGATTACCCTAAAAAATAGCACAGTTGCCAGAGATGAATGGTGGGGCAGAATGGGGCCACACTGTCTCCCTGGGGGGGTAGGGAGATAACCCTCATTTAAAGAGGTCATTGCATAAGAGACTGTGAGACGAATGGAACAAGCTGGAGAATGAAACAAGAAGGAAAGGAGAAAAAATGAGAAAAACGCACATGAAAATCAAGAACTGGGCCAGAAACTAAAAAGCAGGAAGAAGGAGGAGCCTGGGTATTGTCCTTTTTCCGATCTAACATTTGCATTCTTGTTGAAGGTCAAGTATGAAGCTAATAAATTGAGCATTATTCCTCTGAGAAATGTCTGGGTTCTCACAATTTGTTCAACTACAGAGCATGCATTTGAAAAATAAATGGCTCTTGAAAGTTTGCTAGAGAGAAACAATTACATTAATATTCCTTATTTCATCGTTTTCCTGTTTCCTGTATGCCTGTTAAGTACTTTATAATCAATGAAATTATAAGTTAACATTTAATTGTTTAAATAGTTAATAGAGAAGAAAAAGAAACACTCTATTTATTTGCCCCTGACAAAGTTCTCAGCACTGTTGAAGGTGTGGTGAACACATATCCATTGTTTATATTCATTTAGATATAAACTTATAATAAAAACACTTTTTAAAAACAAAAATACTATCACACTATATGTTTAATACTGATTGAATAAGTCAGAGGAATCTTTGCAAGGCAAAACATTTTGCCTACTTTATTCTTTTACACAACAGTGCAGTATACCACAGTATAGATCTACTATAGTGTAGTGACTATTTGTATTGAAAAGATAGTTAAAGTTTACTTCACTTTTTTTTTTTACTGTGCATACAATATACAATTTTATACATGTATTTATTTATAAGAGTATTTCTGAAGAAAAAAATTCCAGTCAAATGGAATTTCTGTATCCAATGAAATGTGAGATGAGAAGCCCCTGGGCCTAGATCTTTATGAATTTATATTCAGTCATCAGGATATGAGAATGTCCTTTCCTGGTATCATCAATAACTGAATATTAATATCATGATTCTTAACTCCTTTTGTAGTCTGGTAAGTGAGAAATGGTGGGAAAAGGCTCTTCACAGAAGTGTGAGTTATGAGAAACTGGTCCCCAAGGGCTAAAGTGGCAAGAGGAGGGGGCAGTCATAGGAATCTGGAGATTGTCAGTGGATGGTAAAAGTTTAAATTTCTTCTTTTCTAGCATAGGTGTTTTTGTTTATTCAGGAGAAGGAGGAGAAGGAAGGGAGAGAAGCCTTTCTGTAGCAGTGCTGTGCTTGGTCCTCAGATGGCAGTGTTTTCACCCCTACTTGCCACACTCTGCACCTCAGTGTGTGAGTGTGTGTGCTTGTGTGTGCACACCTTGTTCTGATTGGCTGAGCTGACACTGTGTTCTGTTCTGTAGAAACACGAGATAGCAAGGCAGATCTTTTATTTTGTGAGCCATTGTTGAGATTTCAGACGCAAGAATTCGGTTCTTGGTGAGTCTGAGTGACAGAAGGAATGGAGAAACTCCTGGGCCTGCTCATCGTTTGGCTGCAACTGGACTGTGAGTTAGAGGGTCCTGGAAATGGGCAAAAACCAGGCAGACTCTGGGGCATTTCTCCCAGGGAAGAGAGAGAAAGATGAGGAGTTCCGCCTCTGTGGTTTCCTAGGAGTTTATGTGGAACTTGAAAAAATAAATTTTAAAGTAATTTCTAAAGAGTCATGAGCCACTAACTGGTCTGTGGTTCTCTTTCTCAACAGGGGTGAGCAGTAAACAGGAGGTGATGCAGACTCCTGCAGTTCTGAGTGTCCCAGAAGGAGACAGCTTGGATCTCAACTGCAGTTTCACGGACAGTGCTATTTACTTCATTCAGTGGTTTAGGCAGGATCCTGGAAAAGGTCTCACGTCTCTGTTGTTAATTCAGTCAAATCAGAGAGTGGAAAGGAATGGAAGACTTAAAGCCTCGTTGGATAAATCATCAAGATATAGTACTTTAAACGTTGCAGATTCTCAGCCTGCTGACTCAGCCACCTACTTCTGTGCTGTGAGGCACAGTGCATGACAGCCACCTGCAAACAATACCCAAACACTACTATACTAGGATCCAACCACACATTGTCCTTTTTTGCTTTAAGAGGTTTTCTAAACCTATGCTCTCTCCAGATAGACATAGTTAAATATGCAAAACTTGCTATAATGATTTGAAGTAAAATTGCGAATTCTTTAATCTTTACATTTTTATCAACTTTAAATAACAGATTTCTTGAGATTAATTTACATGCCATACAGTTGACCCGTTTAAAATGAACAATTAAGTGGCATTTAATACATTTGCAACACTGTGTAACTACCCCCTCCATCTAGTTTCAAAAACTTGTCAACACTCCAAAGGAAACCACATATCCCTAAAGCAGTTATTCACCTTCCCCTCCTCCTCCCCAGCCCCTGGCAGCCACCAACCTGCTTTCTAGCTCTATGGATTTACCTATTCTGTATATTTTATATAAATGGAATCATGTAACAGGTGGCCTTTGTGTATGGCTTCTTTCACTTAGCATAAGTTTGGAGGTTTATTCTAAACTTTAGCATTCCCTTATTCAGGATGAATTAGGGAATGCTAAATATATACATATTAATCAATCATATCATAACAGAATCTAATCAGTCATATCAGATGCCTCACTTCTGGTTAGCCTACCTATGGCCTTATGCAATGGCCACCAGGGGAGCCCACCTGAAGCTTTATTCCTCCCTCTGCCTTCACTATAAATCTTCACCACTCTCTTGCCTTTGAGTCTCTGTCAAAATACAAGTGATGGTAGCTGACTCCCTTGGTATACCAAGCTCTATATAAATAGCCTTTGCTTTTCTCATTTGATCTTCACTTACTTCCATATAACCGTCTAAAGACACTTAATTTTTCTTCTTGGCCAAGTTATCACTTTGCCATAGGAGTCTCACTTTGCACATGGAAAGTCAATGACTCACCATAAAGAACATTAAAGCTGGGGGCAGCTTGGCTTCCATTCAAATTGATGGGTAGGTTGACAGTATTATTTAGATAAGTCAGAAAGAAACTTGGAAGTGAAGCAGTTCTCAATATTTATATCCCAAACTGTATCATAAGTATGATCTAGAAACTCCCAACAAACATCTTGGTCTTCCTGGATTTTCCTATCCAGAATTGTTTGCTCACATCTTTTACTACATATTTAGGCTCTGTATTATGTGGTGAGGAGAATGGCATGCCATTCCTAATATGGATTACAATGCTGCCTTCTTTCTCATCTTTCCAAATGAAGTTATAGATAAATTATACATTCAGATATGTGAGGTAGAAAGGAGCTCTGTGCGAGGGGATTTCCTAGCTATTTTTCCCATGCTCTGAATGAAGCTCTATTGTTAATAAAAATGAATGAACCATATGACAAAAACAAAAAGAATGTTCATTCTTGAAAGAAGTAACTCTCTTCTACACATATGGTTGCAGCATGTTATGCAGGCAAACGCTTTGCTGTCGGCAATCCAAACAGTGATAATTTCACAGGGCAGATATGCACATACAACACAGCAATTCGGACACCACGATATGATAAGGATAATAAATTTTGAAATGTGCATCATGAAAGATTATCAAATTGGGAGCTGGCTTAGGTTGGGAGGGTGGGGAGTGTACTGCTCATCAGAAAGGGCCTCTTCAATTTTATAGTTACATTGAGATATGTCAGAAAGACAGGCCAAGGCTCTTGGTAAGAAGTGCTACAGAAAGAGGGAGCAGTTAGTGTGAATGTTCCGGACAGGGATAAAAGTGGGTATAGTTAAGAAATTGAAGAAAAGACAGAGTGGCTGCAATCAAATGTACAAGAGTGGAGTAAACAGAAGCCAGAGAGTTTAAGTAAAAAATATACATGACTTGTGGGCCACGTAAAAAGTTTGAGTTTTGTTCCTAATTGAGAAATCATTGAATGTATATAAGAAAGTCATAAAAAATGTGTATATTCAAAATAGTTTTGGGAGATAAAATTGCCAGGGCTTGATGATAAGTTAGATAGGCTGAATGAACAGAGAAAGAAGTGATAAGCAGTGCGGTGGGCTTCCTATGAAAGGGATGATGGGGGGAGGGAGAGAAGATTTGAAGGGAGGAATCAAATATTCTGCTTAGAATATGTGATTGACATTTGAAATTTGTTTGGGATTTGAGCATGTGTTGAGGGTAGTTACGAGATTGTTAAACGGATATATGATATAGGCAGTGGATTATATGGGTTCGTGTCATAGAATATGGATCTCATCTGAAGGTACAAACTCAGAAAGCATGACTTTATAGGTACTTTTACAACGATGAGAGATCAGGACATTTCCTAATGGGAATCATATGAAGTTAGAAGAAAAGATTATCTAGAATCAAGCTGTGAAGAATTATAACATTTTGAGATTAGATAGAGGGAATGAACCAGTAAAATGGACTGAGAGGGAGCAGCAAGAATGGTCAGAGAAGAACCAGAGGGGTGTGTTTCCATGGAAGGTAAGTAAAAAAGTATGTTGAAAAGAGTTGAGTGGAAAACTACAGGGAGACTTCGCAGAATACTTTTCACTGGACCTTTGCATTATGAATATTATTAAAGATTTTGACAAGGGTGGCTATGAGGGCAAAGTGATGATGCAGAACTAAATTTTGTGAATTACAGAATGATTCCATATCAGCAATAAGGCTGTTTTGCTTCCTTATCATTCTTGTGTTCACTGGAGTAGAACTTTTAATTTCCTCTAAGAACTTTCATTCTTGAAAGAAGTTACTTTTTCCCACATATATGGTAGCAGCATTTTAGGTAAGCAGACACCTCGCTGTTGTCAATACAGCAGTGAACAGGGGATAGGTACACATACAATTCGAACAAACATATAATTTCAACATACGATAAGCATGATACATTCTAAGAAGGATATGATGAAAGATTATAAACTTGGGTCCCTGTTTGTACCATCTACAGTGGCCACATTCAAAGCCCATGTGACAACTTACCTCTCAGTCTTCGACATTTCAATTTCAAAGTTTAATTCTACAGGCAAACGTCATTTTACTGCACTTTGCTTTATTAAGCTTTGCAAATATTGTGTACTAGATGCAACCTGCATTTAGCAAGTCTGTTGATGCCATTCTCCAACAGCATGTACTCACTTCATGCCTCTGTGCCACATTTTGGTGATTCTCACAATATTTTATCTATTGTGGTAATCTGTGATCTTTGATGTTACTATTATAATTGTTTTGAGATGCCAACAAACTTACTTGGCAAATTTGTGTGTTCTGACTACCCTACTGCCCAGACATTCCCCCCGTCTCTCTCCTTCTCTTCAGGCCTCCCTATCAACTGAGACACAACGATATTGAAATTCAGTCAATTCATAGTTCTACAATGGCCTCTCTATGTTCAAGTGAAAGGATGGGCCACATGTCTCTCACTTTGAATCAGAAGCTAGAAATAATTAAGCTTAATGAGGAAGGTATGTTAAAAGCTGAGATAGGCTGAAAACTAGGCCTCTCACACCAAGAAGTTAGCCATGTTGTGAATGCAAGAAAATGTTCTTGAAGGAAATTAACAGTGCCACTATCGTGAACATATGAATAAGAGAACAAAACAACCTCATGGAGAACAGCTTTAGTGTTCCAGGTAGAAGATCAAACCAACCAGCCACAACATCCCCTAACCCAAAGCAAGGCCCTAACTTTCTTTCTTTCTATAAAGGTTGATAGAGATGAAGAAGAAGCTGAAGAAATGTTTGAAGCTAGCAGAGTATGGTTCCCAAAGTTTAAGGAAAGAAGTTGTAATATAACATGGATATAAAAGTGCAAAGTGAAGCAGCAAGTGCTGATGTAGAAGCTACAGCAGGTTATCCAGATCTAGCTAAGATAACTGATGACGGTGACTACACTAAATAACAGGTGTTTATTATAAATGAAATAGCTTTCTGTTGAGAGATGGTGCTATGGAGGGCTTTTATAGCTGAAGGGGAGAATTCAGTGCCCGGCTTTAGAGCTTCAAAGGACAGATAGGTTGATTCTCTCATTAGGGACTGATGCAACTTTAGGTTGACGCCAATGCTCATTCACCGTTCTGAAAATCCTAAGACTCTTAAAAATTATGCTAAGTCTATTCTGTTTGTGTTCTATAAATGGAACAACAAAGCCTCTGGGATATATGCCAAGGAGTGTAATTACTGCATCATACGGGAAGTGTAAGTTTAGTTTTATAAGAAGCTGCTGAACTGTTTTCTAAATTGCTGTACTCTTCTGCATTCCCACCAGCAATGTTTGAGTAATCTAACTTCTCCACATCCTTGTTAACATTTTGGCTTACCATTGGTTTTAATTTTTGTAATTTCTTTAGGCGTATAGCATTCATTGTGGTTTTAATTTGCATTTATCTCATAGCTAGTGATGTTAAATATATTTTGCTTTCCTTTGAAAAAAACTAAAGCTCACAATTTGTTCATATCTCCTTAATTTTTACCTAATGTCCTTCTTATGTCTTCATGGTCTATAGTAACATCCTCTGTTTCATTCCTGGCATTAGTAATTTATTTCTTCTTTTTTCCTTGTCTGTCTTGCCAGAAATTTATCAAATTTATTGATCTTTTAAAAAAGACCAGCTCTTTGTTTGACTTTTTTTCCTTACTATTTTCTATTTTTAATTATATTGATTTCTGCTTTTATCTTTACTAATTCCTTCCTTAGACTTGTCTTGGGTTAATTTTTCTCTTCTTTTTCTTTGTGGCTGAAGTGGGAGCTCAGATTATTGATTTCAGACTTTGTTCATTTCTAATGTTTGCATTTAGTGCTACACATTTTCTCTCTTTTTCTTGCCTTATCTTAGATGGTACAAATCTCAGTATGTTTTATTTTCATGTCCATTCTGTTCAGTATATGATTGATTTCCCTTAAGACATCCTCTTTGACACTTGTATTCCTAAGAAGTATATTGTTTAATTTCCAAGTGTTTGAAGATTTTTCCTGCTATGTTTTTGTTATTTATACTTTTATTCCTTTGTGGCTGGAGAAAT